AGTCCGCCCCTTATACATATATACATATATATATATATATATGAAATGACTCGGGAAGACATCCCCAACAACATATTTAAAAATAAAACAAATCGGAGAGGAAGTCGCTTTTATGCATAATTACCTATTATTTTTATTATCTCACGTTTTTACATTAATATTATACAATATTATTTGCAAATAGGTAACGGGATCTTTCAGATTAATAGACGAATGTATTTAGAAATAATAATTAATTGATTATTGAAAAATATACAGTATATTTTTATAGAAACGTAAGAAAATAGCACAACTAATTCCATAATATTTTCAGAGATTCAACGAACGGTATAATTAATTCTCTCCGATTCTAGTGATCTTTTCAAGGAATAAAAGTTCGAAGAACTATAGTGTTTAATCGATAAAGACATATCGGATAAACTAGTCGTACGTAAAACGGTATGAGTCCTTCTTCTTTGTCCTTTCTTATTGCTTCGGCTAATGTATCGCCGCGCAGCTTGTACTTATCATCGACTTCCAACTGTCTTAACTTTATTCCTCCCATAAGTCCAGCGCGTTCAACCGAAGTATTTGCTTGGCCTTAAAAAGTACAGTATTTAGTCGCGTCATTTTATTGTGATTCATTCATTATACTTGTTTGATTTTTAAAAATTGGCAATATTGATTTGAAGCATACATTTTCTTTATTCTACATAATATTAATTTGTGCAAGGTTGATATTTAATAAAATTCCAAATTTTATTCGACCACAGCTGGCTACAATTGTTAATTCATCGTCAATGCAGAAAATTTATTGCGAAAAAGCTGTGGTCGAATAAAATTTGGAATTTTAGTATTATACTGGCAATTTGAAGAAACTAATCTTTAATATTTAATATTTAATACTATAAATTTTATTTTAAAAAATGAAATTGTTATCGATTTAGGAAGGTGATCTTCCTATTTCGACACATTATGGGGCTGTGTTTTAAGTCCGACAAAACTCTGCTCAGTTTATTAAGCTCGGAATAAATATACAAAAACTCACACAACGTTAGTATGTTACAAAGAACGAGCTCGGACCAATAAGTGAATAATTCTTTATTAATTTATACTTTAATGTGTCTGATGTGTTCTAATGTATAAATTTTATTAACTTGGACTAATATCTATATTTCTGTGAAGGTCCATATTCGAATCCTGGCCGAGGTCATTTTTTTCTATTGCAATATATTCTTTGTTCATTTTCCCCGAAGAGATATTTGCGTGGATCATTTATAGTAAAATGAGACACCCTGTGTATAAATTTGCTTTTGGCTAGGCACTTGAACGAGCTATGAATTTCGTTTTTGTTTTGATCTTACAGACCTCCTGTAAATTTGTGCGTGACAGATTCTGCAGTAAAATAATCGCAGTAATACTCACAAGAAGAATATGCGACTAGTTTACCGACAATCTCACTGTCCGTCCAATCAGGATGTTGTTCTTTAACTTGTTTCATCTTTTTAGCCTTGGCACCAAATAACGCTAACAAAGTCGATTCGCTAGCACTGCCCTATAAAGGAAAATTTTACTTAGGTTGCCAGTCTCATGCCAGTCTCAGAAATAACTATTCCCTACATATTCAGATATCTTTTATTAATGTATTGCTATTAATAAAATGTGACTTACTTGTATGACACCACCGCCTTTCCCACCGCTGCAGAAAATAAATTCTTTGGGCAGGCCCAACATTTTTCCCAGCCAATCTACTACGATCATTTCTAGTTCAGTGCAAGCTGGACTCGCGATCTGCAGAAATTTGGTATGAAAAGTGACCAAGAGGATCGTAGATGTGTCTTTAATATTTTAATATCAGTTTTCGATATATTTTCTAACTTTATGTTAATTTAAAATTTTCAAAGTTAATATATTTTAGTTTTAATGATGAGATTTGGTTGTCGTTGCTAATTTTGACTTTTATCTATTGCAGAAATGGATTTTATATCCTTCGAAATAGAAATGAGGGATTTTAATAGACTTCATAGTTATAACGCAAAACATGAATGCGGGTCTTGTATTAACCCTTTGCACTCCGAGTTATATTTTATCTATTGGTTTGGACTTGAAAAAAATGTCGAGTGAGACTCAACAAAGGAGCTGCTGAGATAAAAACTGATGTCGAGTCACACTCGACATAGGAGTGCAACGGGTTAATGGAAATGAATAAAACATTCACATCTTTTATGCACTTACCCACGTGAATCCAATACACGCAATACCTCCGCTTAACATATCGGCTAGAATCGAGGGATACGATTGAGCACAAGCAAAGTATGCATGGAATTTTGGACTGTGCCAATGAGTAACCTAAACAATTTTATCTTAATTTATTTCTTGCCTACAGTCAGAAAGACCGATAATTCTAGTGTTGTTGTTTTGCGATGTGTGAATAAGTCATTATTGCATACTCTTGTTAGATCAGTGATTTACAATCGATTGAGGTAGTTAATTACTTACGCCTGGCATTATTACTCTGTCGATATCGGCCATTACATCCTTCCATTGTTCAGGGGTTCGGGGTGCTTCGGATGGCAAGAGTGGTCGCAGGTATCCCGGCTTCACCGTAGGCAAGACTCTCCTGGGAATTTGGGATATTTTTATATACTAGATATATTTATATTAAAGGTACAAAAGAATTAAATAGATTATTACTGAATGGCAATTCACCGTTAAGCGATTTTTTTTATTATGGCATGTTATTTACTAGAGCTGTTACGTTTGATAACTTCGAAGATTTGAAGCTTCGAAAAATTTATTCGTGCGAGTGGCGAATTTATCTAAAAAACACTAAAAGTATTGTAAATAAAGAGTACTTATTTATGTATGTTGAAAAATAGGTGATTACTTCAAAATTATAATTTTGAAGTAGGTACTATAACATATTGTACATATCGTTAGATTCGTTACTGTTTTAAATGTTAAGACTAATATTATAGCTTATTAACTATTAAAAACCTTTTAAAACCAACATTCGTCCTGAATCTAATTGGCCCATTTGAATTTAAATTTATTAACCTGCTACGAGCCTAGTATTATTATTTATTAATACTTTTTATTTGCAATATTTTTAATCTTCTGTGAATAAATTCGCCACTTGCACGAATAAATTTTTCCGTAATGAAAGCTTCGAAGTTAACTTTGAAGATTCGAAAGTTCGAAGGTCGAACTTTGAAGGAAAACACCAGTCCTTATTATCTACCTGTCTCTAATATTTTCCAAGTAGTTTGCGATATATTCCGCCATCTCTTTTGCGCAGTCCTTGAAGCTCTCTGGATCCATCTTTTACAAATATATAAAATATACGGTTTGTCAGAGCGGATGAACTAATATAAAAGACTGAAAATAAATCAAAACCAATCAGTTACTTTAATAAATGATCCAACCATTTATAAAAGTTAGAAAATAACGGACACAAAGTTAAAATATGTCTGCAGTATACAAATGCCGGAGAATGACTATCGAAACTGTAACAAAATGAAAGTGTTTAGGTCAAAACAACGAAAAAGGATAGGAAAATATGTAACCGACGATTAAATCAATAATTTATTAATAGTTATAGTTACTAATTTGTACTATCTTAGGAATTGATTTGTGTACGTATAAATTTACCTTGTGTAGTAGTACCAGAGGATGAGTCTATACCAGTCCCTTAAGCGAGGGCCTTGATAATTGTTGCAAATTTTGAAGTTTTTTTAAAGTAAAGAACTCAAGCGAGAGATACTATTTAAGCGTGTAACACCCGTTTATTTCTACTGGCTTATCCAGATTAATGAGTAAGAACAAAACTCATATCGGTTTGATAATCACTTTATTGATTGCTGAACACAATTCATGCTATTGCCAGGACAGCGCGCAGTACAATATTACCGTCAAAAACGTATGATACACACTACCGCCAGTCGAGAATCTACGATAATGCTCGAACGTGCGAGGACGAGTGGAAACTCTAATTACTACATTTTGAAATTTAAGGAAACAAGGAAGCATAGCTCATTGTTATGTAGCTCAAATAAAGATAAACTATACACTACCGCCCAGGTCTGTTCAACAAAATACGTCACATATCGTAATTGAATGTCGAGCGTACGTACACTGAGCTGTCGTTAAAAATTGTCGCAAGCTGATTGTCGCTTGCAACAATTTTTAACGACTATTTAAGACTGTCCCTAATCATCATTCACTACTTTGGCTTATTTTATTATCGGCCTTTAATACCTGTTGGGTGCAAGAAAATACTTAAAACTAGAACTTGTTGCAACTGGCAAGCGCAGACAATCCGCAACCGCGAGCTATCTGAGCGCGCCATTGCTTCAAAATCGATTGTAGACTGCAAGTATCTCATTTGCTCTCAATTGGATCTCTTTCCATGAATACTGTATATCCTTGCTCTCGCTGAATCGAGAACAGACGACGAATCGCAAGAAGTTAGTGCACTTAACTTTCGATGAAACGAGATGGACGTTTCCTGCATCGTTGATTTTCTTTAGCAAGGCTTCGTTGAGTTTGTTGGATCCCTGTAAAATATTATGGAATTAGTTGTGTTACTTTCCTGCGTTTTTATAAAAATATATCAATCAATTAATTATTATTTCTAAATACATCCGTCGATTTAGTTGATAGATTCCATTACATATTCGCAAATTAAATTATCTTTTATAAATAAATATAATATTGTATATACACATCTATATAGCAGTTGTTAAGAAAGAATTTTTTTGCAAATATATTTGAGAAAATATGAATGTAATGTATAGAATAATCGGGTATATGTTCAGAACGGGAGAAAACTTTCATTGTACCCGACACATTAAGTAACCGAGTTTCAGTTACAAGAGAGTTAATGTTACTACTACTAAACGAAAAATTCCAGTAAGCCCTGCTAATAAGACGCCGACGGGTGGCGCATCTGTATCGCGCTACTCGATTATAGATACAAACAATTTCTGACACACACAATCGACTTACCTTCAATCGGAAACAAACCAATCCCATGACAACTTCGCCTATGATTTGGAATCGAGGATCGGAAAGAACTAATGCTTCGAATTCGTGTGCCTGAGCGACGTGCGATCTGATGAACTTTTGAAGATTTTCAACCCCATACAGCCTCAGTACGAACCAAAGTTTCAGAGATCGGAATCTACGTCCAAGTGGAATCTGCCAATGCTTTAATCAAATACACTCAATCAGAAAATTTAACGACAGTATTTAGCACTTGTTTTCTAAATTTATTTTATTAATTAGATAACGCAAATTGAACTGCATCAACAATAATTACCCTGCAATATATCGCTAAACCCTGCATCTCATGCTGCAGAAACTCAGAATCAACATTGAAAGCGTAATTATGTAATGTATATTGAACGTTATCAATTAAAAGCAGATCCTAGTAGATTTGTAATAGTTACCCTATAATCCGGTGCAGCACCCTGCATATCGTGCTTCAGATACAAAGGATCAACATTGAAAGCGTTTATCAAATATGTCGGATCCTGAAGCCACATGACGGAGCAGTCATAACTAGTTAACATCCATTTATGAGGGCTAAAATTGAAAGAATCTACCATTTCAATACCTTTCATTAAATATCTGAATTCCGGACAAATAAAAGCAGCTCCTGCAATCAATTGGATTTGTTTTAGCTCTATTTGTTAAATTGAGCAAATCGTAATTACATCTATCGTAGGATAAGAAACTCAATCTATACCTGCATAAGCAGCATCCACATGCAACCAAACGTCTTCACGATTCGCTACAATGCCAATTTCATCGAGACGATCAAAGGCGCAAGTGTTCGTGGTACCCAAAGCAGCGACAGCCTACGATGAGAAATCACCTAATAATTTTTTAAATAAATGAATTTCTCATTGATATTAATTAATACTACATTTTAATAGTTACGTAAACTTTACGTTAATTATTTATGTAGAAGAATTAATAAGCGCGACGTCGTATTTCCGTGATCTTGTAATTAATATATTGTACCATTAAATTTTTAAAAATGTTATATACAATATTTTCAAGAAGTTGTATTTCCGAGAATTTTCCGGAAATTTTATTTTGTTATTACATAAAAATATTCCCATTATATTATCTCACGTTTATACACGGTATAATTAATTCTCTACGATTCTAGTGATCCTTTAACCCTTTGCACTCCTATGTCGAGTGTGACTCGACATCAGTTTTTATCTCAGGAGCTCCTTTGTCGAGTCACACTCGACATTTTTTCAAGTCCGAACCAATAGGTGAAATATAATTCGGAGTGCAAAGGGTTAAAGGAATAAAAGTTGGAAGAAAGAGAGTATGTGATCGATAAAAACATATCGGATAAACTAGACGTACGTAAAACGGTATGAATCCGTTTTCTTTATCATTTCTGATTGCTTCGGCAAATGTATCGCCCCGCAGCTTGTACTTATCATCGACTTCCAACTGTCTTAACTTTATTCCTCCCATAAGTCCAGCGCGTTCAACAGAAGCATGTGCTTGGCCTTAAAAATACAATATTTTGCCGCCTCATTGTATTGTGATTAATTTATTATAGTTGTTTGATTTTTAAGAAATTGGAAATATTGATTTGAAGCAGAGATTTGCTTAACACCTCATTATATTCATTTACGCATTGTCGATATACATATGTATATAATATTTAGTTTTAAAGTAACTTCTGTTTATTAGATTACAAGGAACGAGCTCTGACCAATAATTGGATAATTCTTAATTGATTTATACTTTTTTCGGTTTTGTGCACATGCAATTAGTCACTTTAATGTTTCTAATGTGTTCGAATGTATAAATTTTATTAATTTCGGCTAACATCTATATTTCTGTGAAGGTACAAGTTCGAATCCTAGCCGAGGTAATTTTCTCTCTTGCAATATATTCTTTGTGTTCTTATCGAGGGGGAAACCACTGACCAAAATCTTCTACACCAATGCCCACTAATGCCCAGTGGGCATTACTTTATCTTATTATCTTCTTTTATCTTATTTATCTTGTTTTATCTTATTTTATCTTATTGTGTCTTATTTTATCATATTTTATCTTTATAATACCTCAGCAAGACGAAATGCCCCAAAAATGCCCGGTAATGCCGCAAATCTGTACACCACAATGCCCTCAGCGGTTTCCCCCTCGGTTCTTAAATTACAATTATATTATAATATTTTTAATATTTCAATCATCCGTATGACACAAAAAGATATATATAATATTAATTCGCTTTTGGCTAGACATTTGAACAAGCAATTAATTTCGTTTTGGTTTTGATCTTATAGACCTCTTGTAAATTTTTGCGTGACAAAATTTGTAGTAAAATAATCGCAGTAATACTCACAAGAACAATATGCGACTAGTTTACCGACAATCTCGTTTTCCGTCCAATCAGGATGCTGTTCTTTAACTTGCTTGATCTTTTTAGCCTTCGCTCCTAATAACGCTAACAAAGTCGATTCGCTGGCACTGCCCTATAAGTGAAATTTCTACTTACAATTAGGTTTGCTTAGTAGTATCTTGCTTTTCAAAAAGGACAGTCTCAGAAATGACTGTTCATACGTATTAAGATATCTTTTGTTAATGTATCGCTACTAATAAAATGTGACTTGCTTCTATGACGCCACCGCCTTTTCCACCGCTACAGAAAAGAAATTCTTTGGGCAGGCCCAACATTTTTCCCAGCCAATCTACTGTGATCATTTCTAGTTCAGTACAAGCTGGACTCGCCATCTAGCATGCAGAAATTTGGTATAAAAAGTGACCAAGAACATAGTGTATCTTTAATATTTTAATATTAGTGTTCGATATATTTTCTACCTTTATGTTAATTTCAAATTTTCAAAATTAATATATTTTAGTTTTAATGATGAGATTTGGTTGTCGTTGCTAATTTTGACTTTTATCTATTGCAGAAATGGATTTTACATCCTTTGCAATAGAAATAAGGGATTTTAATAGACTTCATAGCTATAACGCAAAACACGAATGCCGGTCTTGTATTAATGAAAATGAAAAAAACATTCACATCTTTTGCACTTACCCACGAGAATCCAATGCACGAAATTCCTCCAATTAACATATCGGCTAGAATAGCGGGATATGATTGAATAGAGGGAAAGTATGCATGGAATTTTGGACTCTGCCAATGAGTAACCTAACCAATTTTATCTAAATTTATTTCATGCTTACAGTCGGAAATACCGATGATAAAATACATTAATTTTTAATTGTAGTGTTACTGTTTCTCGATGCGTGAATCAGTCATTATTGTATACTCTCGTTAGATCCATGGGCGTATCCAGACGTTTGTCTAAGGGGGGGGGGGGCAGAACAGGATTCATCCGTAGGCGAATTATGCAGCATAAATTAAACTACGGACTTCTACAAAATCTTTTTATTTATATAAAAATTAATTTTCTGGAGTCCTCGGCAAATCTAATAATTATGTTATTCGTAATCTCTAGGGTTGTGATTTATATGCAATAAAAACAGACAAATATGCACATATATACATATGTAAATATATTTGGTAAAATATGCAATTAAAAACTGAAAATATGCGAAAACTACCATGAGAAAAAATAAGGAAACCGCAATATACACATAAGTATAAACACAAATAAAAGTAAACAGAGAAACAGTGGCAAGAGGAACATCACATGGCGAATATTAAAAAAGAAAAACGCGTTTTAAAAAAATGTTAATATAAAAAATTTAACAACGAACATTAAAAAAGAAAAGAACTCCTGACCTATTGGTCCAAAAGGTCGTAACATTTCCATGAATCCAATATTAAACTATTCCAAGAGAACATTTACAGTGGAACAAACACCTTTCTACATTTCCAAGAGAAGCAAAAGCGACCAAAAGTTCGCGAAAAGTGGTGAAGCAGCAACTGAACAAACACAAACTCAGTCTTGGAAACGGAAGAATGGGAGAGAGCCCGTAGCTCTTTTTCGGGGATTTTTTTTCTTTTGCCTGCTCAGAAACATTAAGGTTTGACGTGCCAAGTGCCGATATGCCGGATATGTAAAAAAATATGCAATTACAATCCGCTTATGCAAAAATATGCATTTATAATGCACAATATGCACATATATGCACAAATATGCAAAATAAAAATAGCTGAAATTGATTCCAAATGTTTCAAAACATATACAGTTTGTTAAAACTGCATGTTTTAGTTAACCAGGAAAAATATGCAAATGCATATATTTCACAGCCCTAGTAATCTCAATGGGGATCCCATTGAGTCTAGGGGGGGGGGGGGCAGCTACCTCCCTGCCCCCCTGGATACGCCCATGGTTAGATCAGTGATGTACGATCGATTGTGGTAGTTAAAAATTACGTACGCCTGGCATTATTACTCTTTCGATATCGGCCATTATATCCTTCCATTGTTCAGGGGTTTGGGGTGCTTCAGATGGCAAGAGTGGTCTCATGTATCCTGGCTCCACCGTAGGCAAGACTCGCCTGGGAATTTGTGATATTTTTATATACTAGATATATTTATATGAAAAGTACAAGATGATTGTATAAATGATTACTGAATGTAAATTCACCGTTAAACGATTTTTCGATTATGGCATGTTATCTACCTGTCTCTAATATTTTCCAAGTAGTTTGCGATATATTCCGCCATCTCTTTTGCGCAGTCCTTGAAGCTCTCTGGATCCATCTTTTACAAATATATAAAATATATGGTTTGTCAGAGCGGATGAACTAATATAAAGGACTGAAAATAAATCAAAACCAATCAGTTACTTTAATAAATGATCCAGTCACTTATTAAAGTTAGAAAATAACGGACGCAAAGTTAAATATGTCTGCAGTATACAAATGCCGGAGAATAACTATCGAAACTGTAACAAAATAAAAGTGTTTAGGTTCAAACAACGAAAAAGAATTGGAAAATATATAACCGACGATTAAATAAATAATTTATTAATAGTTATGGTTACTAATTTGTACTCTCTTAGGAATTGATTTGTGTACGTATAAATTTACCTTGTGTAGTAGTACCAGAGGATGAGTCTGTACCAGTCCCTTAAGCGAGGACCTTGATAATTGTTGCAAATTTTGAAATTTTTTAAAGTAATGAACTCAAGCTAGAGATACTATTTAAGCGTGTAACACGTGTTTATTTCTACTGTCTTGTGCAGATTAATGAGTAAGAACAAAACTCATATCAGTTTGATAATCACTTTATTGATTGCTGAACACAATTCATGCTATTGCCAGGACAGCGCGCAGTACAATATTAACGACAAAAACGTATGATACACACTACCGCCAGTCGAGAATCTACGATAATGCTCGAACGTGCGAGGACGAGTTTAAACTCAAATTACTACATTTTCACATTTAAGGAAACAAGGAAGCACAGTTCATTGTCATGTGACTCAAATAAAGATAAGCTATACACTACCGCCCATATCTGTTGTACAAAATACGTCACATATCGTAATTGAATGTCGAGCGTACGTGCACTGAGCTGTCAGAAATTGTCGCGAGCTGATTGTCGCTGTTGAAACGAGAGGTGGTCTTGCCTAATTTTATCCGATTTACGATTACGTTTTATGATGTCAGAGCGATTTCTTGTGACTTCTGTTTTGTAATCTTAGTTTCGAAAAATCGTTTAAATAGTAAAGCAGTTGTACCGTCGTTCTTGCAGACTTTAAAAATTCTTCATGAACACTCTTTCGAAAACATTCAACTAATTGTGTATACGCACCTAAATTATGGCCGATATTCGTAGTAAGGTTTAACCTACCATCTTACTTACTTCCTTTGAATATTTACTAGAGAAAAATATTTATTAATAAATTAACTCCGACTATTTTTAATACCTATCTGTATATTTTTATATTACAATCGTATTTTTTAATTAATTGTGTTAATCTATTTTTGTTTTGATTCTATTATTAAAATATTACTATTTATAACAGATAATTTAAAAACCACGGAGAGTATTATGGTCGCTGGTAATTGATTAAAAACAGGAAGAAAAATTGTTTGACGACGTTAAACTGGCTAAAGTGGTTTAATTTAACAATTTATTCCGACTTTTCGACCACCCGGATTGTGGTTTTCCAAGGAAATATCTACAAAATATTGGAGAAACTTATCTACATATAAGCTGTTCGTTTAACAATTGGCATTATAGCCACCAAAACGATAAGTAAAATATTTTACATAACGAGGAACCGAGAAAATACCGAAATGTTTTTTTTTTTACCGAAAAACCTAACAACACTATTCATTACAAACCGTCACCGAAAATCTAAATGTAATGTATGACTAATCAAATCTATGTAGGTCGTAATAACGCATTGGTTGTTTTTACGACGTTACCTACGAATTAATTAACTCCAATCGAACATCCGCAATGTTACCCCTATAAAGCTGGACCCCCCCCCTACTATCGCAAATTGAACTAAAAAAAAAAATTTTTTTTAGTGCCATTTATGTGCAAATTTGTTGCTCTAGTCCGGATTTTGTTGCTCCATCAGCGTGTCTCTCTGAGTCTTACAATCGCATGTACATTTATGTGTATATGTATATGGGTCATTTTCGTTTGCGCTTGTCGTGCACGACTTGACACATCTGTGTATATCGCATGCGTGTGTGTGCGAGTACCCTAGGCTATACGCAACAGTATTAAATAGAGGAATTCGCCAGTTGGGTTGACAATCAATTCCCTGTTTTAATTAATGATTTGAAAAGCTATACATATATTTCATTTCACCCGTATATCGATAGTTATAAACTTTATCTTTCTTATTATCTTAAATAATATATATATTTCCCTCGATTATTATATGCTCTTTATTATTTATGTTGACGTAGTTGTATCCGACATTTTCTATCGCCTTGACGACATCTTCCTATTTCGATAATTTAGAAATTTTTTTAATCGACAGAAGAGAATATATTATATTTTTTCTTTCGTCTTTGTGATTGCAACGCGCACATTCTTGAAGCGTTGTTTAATCATTTGTAGTTTGAAACTTTTTGGAAAAATTATTTTTATCTTTTTGTCTAAGACTGTCCCTAATCATTCACTACTTTGGCTTATTTTATTATCAGCCCACAATACCTGTTGGGTGCAAGAAAATACTTATAACTAGAACTGGTTGCAACTGGCAGGCGCTGACAATCCGCAACCGCGAGCTATCTGAGCGCGCCATTGCTTCAAAATCGATTGTAGTCTTCAAGAATCTCATTTGCTCTCAGTTGGATCTCTTTCCATGAATACTGTATATCCTTGCTCTCGCTGAATCGAGAACAGACGACGAATCGCAAGAAGTTAGTGCACTTAACTTTCGATGAAACGAGATGGACGTTTCCTGCATCGTTGATTTTCTTTAGCAAGGCTTCGTTGAGTTTGTTGGATCCCTGTAAAATATTATGGAATTAGTTGTGTTACTTTCCTGCGTTTTTATAAAAATATATCAATCAATTAATTATTATTTCTAAATACATCCGTCGATTCAGTTGATAGATTCCATTACATATTCGCAGATTAAATTATCTTTTCTAAATAAATATAATATTGTATACACATATACAGGGTGGTCCAATGATGAGTAGCTTAACTTCAGGGGCGTATTCCTTGGACAATTCTAAGACGAAACATCCATTTGAGTTTTTGCCGAAAATCGCTTCCCTGAGAAATGGCAGCCGTTTGAAAAAATTTTGTTTGGGTTTCGAGCGGGTGTCATGTAAATTAGCGTAACTTTGGAAATACTCGTCGGATTATTTTTGATTAGGGCTTGTTGAAAAGGTATTGCCGAGACCTTTCAGAAAATGTATTACACTTATCTGGCGGTAGCGTAGTTTTCGAGAAATAAAATAAAAAAGTGAATTTGTGTTGACATTTTTGACATTTTTTTTATAAAACTCAGTGTGTCTCCGAAGATAGTCGATGAATTTTTGATTTTTTTTTCTGCATTTGATAGCCACAGATCTTACTTCTCCAAAATGCCCTTGACCAAGTTCCTACGACTTACCGTTAAAAAGTTATAAATTTTTTCATTGAAATGTTAAGAAAAAAATTTATGAAAACAATTTTTTTGTTAAATTTCAATGTTTTTCGTCTTTATTTGAGCAAAAATTGATGAAGGCGATTCATTAATTAAGCAAAAAGAAATTTTTTTTCTTAACATTTCAGTGAAAAAATTTATAACTTTTGAACGGTAAGTCGTAGGAACTTGGTCAAGGGCATTTTGGAGAGGTAAGATCTGTGGCTATCAAATGCAGAAAAAAAATCAAAAATTCATCGACTATCTTCG